ATATGTAAATTTTTATTTAGGTGTAAAAAATATTAATATAATGTTTATTAAAATACTTTCGTCTTATTCTAATTCCACTTTGTAAATCGTTCCACAGCCCGCATCCAAGTTTCAAATTCCTTTTTGAAGTATTGTCGTTTTTTAAGGTCAGGAGTAAAGGTTTTATCTTGAGGTAATTTACTTAAATATTCTTTAGTCCATAAACCTTTAGGTATTGATTAATAATTGCAAGATATTTTTATATTGTACAAAAAGAGCAATTTCTTACCAGCCTTAATACCAGCCACATATGTGACTCCCTGTACTGACATTTCTGTAGAAATTGTTCTCTCAATTTCCATATCAAGAATACTTGCAAGAGAGCTGAGTATAAAATCATTTTTGGATACACCACCATCAACCCTGAAGTACATTTTGCGTTGCGTTATATTCTAATCAGTCCTAATTAATATAGCGAAATCGAATTAAGTACCTTATTTTTTTAAATTTTCCCACTCGTTCTTTTATCATTACATTGACCATAAGGTAAATTTGAAAAACAATACTTTCTAATACAGCTCGCACCAAATGGCACTTTGTAGAAGTAGGAGTAACGCCGATAAAACCAGAGGTGGCGTTAGGATCATTAATTGGAAGCTAAAAAATATTAAGCACACATTACAGAAAAGTGAATATTGTACGTATAAATTTACCCAAAACCCACTAAAAGCAGGGATAAAATATACACCGTTATTCCCCTGGGCACTTTCCGCTATTTCAGATGATTCAGGGGCATTTTTAATTAATTCTGTAATGTAGACAATTTTAGCGAATCAATAAAACAAACTTATGGTAGACATATAAGAATAGAGCGCGCGGCCGAGTTAAGAAACAACATTAACTTAAATAAAGAGAGCAAATTAAGTGGTCCCTATTATTTTACTCAGCCTTTTGATCGATATAGCATACGGCGACCATAATAACAGTTCGAAGCTTAATTAATATCATATTCCTCGTAAATTTGGTTGGTGGTGGTTTCGCGAAGTTCCCTTTCTTCCTATAACAGTTTGATCGGTTATTTTTCGTCCAAATTCCTACATTTTCTACAATTTTGTAAGCACAACCCTCTGAAATGAAAGAGAAATGGGAGTCGAATGTTATATAGACTATACGAAAACACAGAGGTCGTATTTACTCTCTTTCTCTTTTTATACCTCTGACACCCAGTTTGCGTGCTCTATTATTATATATGTCTATGTTTAAACCCCATACGACAAAAAATATCAACTAGTGTTCAAATCACATTAAAAAAAAAGGCGAGGAGTTGTAAACACAATAGGCGCAATTGAATGGAATGAGAATATTTTTTTAATACGTTATTAAATTAGTAATTTTAATCAGTAGGTATAAAATTAAATACTCGTCATATGGAGTTTATAGAAACTTACTTATAATAATAATTTTGTCTCACCTGTGTTAATAATCCATTCAATAAGAGACCCTGTGTCATTTGAACTTGTTTCTTGCATAAAAATTGTATCACCATCGTTCATTTTCCATGCAACCAGGGGATACACTTCGGAGTGGCTACCGTAAGCTTTGCACCCTGTATTTACGTTCAAAAAACTCCCCGTACCCATCGTGAGTTTAACATTTCCGTAATGAAAACAGCACGAACCAAATAACGACGCAGACTGATCAGACATCTAATAAAAAAGAAATAAATGAATTAATAAAATTGAGAAAGAATAAATAAATGTATTAATTCTTACAACACAATTTATTGGAATAGTTGTCCCCAGTATTTCCTTATCTACAAATCCAAAATCGTAGTCGCAATTTACAACTTTCGGGAGTATCTTCATTGGAATATCAAAAATTAAACAACACAAAGTGTTCCACTGTAGCAAAAAGGGATCATATAATCCTGTGGCGCTTGCATTTGAAATGTCGGTTACGTACGTTTTTCCTTTTGTAAATTTATATATAAGCCACGTTTCGATTGTTCCGAACATAACATTATTTTTTTCGAGACATTTTTTTAATTCTGGAATGTTTTTAATTGCCCACAATAGTCGAAAAGTTACCTAAAAATAAACGTTTTTATAATGGGAATAAATTACGATAAAAAGTAACAAAAAAAAATTGATTGGTTAAACATTTTAAAAACATTATTATATTAGTTCACCGGGTGTGAATTGTCGCACGAGTCGAAGAAAATGGCAGCAAATTCCCGGGAGAGTGCCATTTTTCTTCCCGAAGGCCGCATACAATTTTTTACCATACCGTTGCCTCGAAAATACGATTTTTCCTGATTTCAAGGGCGAGAAAATGCAACATAATTTTCCAAGTAAGAAATCGCTTTCGGCTGAAGAAGCAATTTCTCCGAAATCAGGGAAAACTATCGTACTTTCGAAAGGGCTATGGCAAAAAATATTTCAAGCATAAAATTATACCTACCAGTAAATTTGAAATTCGTAGCTTACTTCCGGCCAAATACCTCTGATTTCTAGTTGTTAAATATAAACAGTAGGAAAAAAACTTTAAAAACTGAAAATAAATTAATATTAATACGTAACCAGAAATATTAAAAAGCCCAATACTTTACATTAACTGTTACCGATTTATCCCAAGCTTTTACTATATCGTCAGCCCTTAAGTCTTTCCATGTGATAAAATTATGAAAAGGCACACCTGTATCTTAAAAATATTAATATAATGTTTATTAAAATACTTTCGTCTTATTCTAATTCCACTTTGTAAATCGTTCCACAGCCCGCATCCAAGTTTCAAATTCCTTTTTGAAGTATTGTCGTTTTTTAAGGTCAGGAGTAAAGGTTTTATCTTGAGGTAATTTACTTAAATATTCTTTAGTCCATAAACCTTTAGGTATTGATTAATAATTGCAAGATATTTTTATATTGTACAAAAAGAGCAATTTCTTACCAGCCTTAATACCAGCCACATATGTGACTCCCTGTACTGACATTTCTGTAGAAATTGTTCTCTCAATTTCCATATCAAGAATACTTGCAAGAGAGCTGAGTATAAAATCATTTTTGGATACACCACCATCAACCCTGAAGTACATTTTGCGTTGCGTTATATTCTAATCAGTCCTAATTAATATAGCGAAATCGAATTAAGTACCTTATTTTTTTAAATTTTCCCACTCGTTCTTTTATCATTACATTGACCATAAGGTAAATTTGAAAAACAATACTTTCTAATACAGCTCGCACCAAATGGCACTTTGTAGAAGTAGGAGTAACGCCGATAAAACCAGAGGTGGCGTTAGGATCATTAATTGGAAGCTAAAAAATATTAAGCACACATTACAGAAAAGTGAATATTGTACGTATAAATTTACCCAAAACCCACTAAAAGCAGGGATAAAATATACACCGTTATTCCCCTGGGCACTTTCCGCTATTTCAGATGATTCAGGGGCATTTTTAATTAATTCTGTAATGTAGACAATTTTAGCGAATCAATAAAACAAACTTATGGTAGACATATAAGAATAGAGCGCGCGGCCGAGTTAAGAAACAACATTAACTTAAATAAAGAGAGCAAATTAAGTGGTCCCTATTATTTTACTCAGCCTTTTGATCGATATAGCATACGGCGACCATAATAACAGTTCGAAGCTTAATTAATATCATATTCCTCGTAAATTTGGTTGGTGGTGGTTTCGCGAAGTTCCCTTTCTTCCTATAACAGTTTGATCGGTTATTTTTCGTCCAAATTCCTACATTTTCTACAATTTTGTAAGCACAACCCTCTGAAATGAAAGAGAAATGGGAGTCGAATGTTATATAGACTATACGAAAACACAGAGGTCGTATTTACTCTCTTTCTCTTTTTATACCTCTGACACCCAGTTTGCGTGCTCTATTATTATATATGTCTATGTTTAAACCCCATACGACAAAAAATATCAACTAGTGTTCAAATCACATTAAAAAAAAAGGCGAGGAGTTGTAAACACAATAGGCGCAATTGAATGGAATGAGAATATTTTTTTAATACGTTATTAAATTAGTAATTTTAATCAGTAGGTATAAAATTAAATACTCGTCATATGGAGTTTATAGAAACTTACTTATAATAATAATTTTGTCTCACCTGTGTTAATAATCCATTCAATAAGAGACCCTGTGTCATTTGAACTTGTTTCTTGCATAAAAATTGTATCACCATCGTTCATTTTCCATGCAACCAGGGGATACACTTCGGAGTGGCTACCGTAAGCTTTGCACCCTGTATTTACGTTCAAAAAACTCCCCGTACCCATCGTGAGTTTAACATTTCCGTAATGAAAACAGCACGAACCAAATAACGACGCAGACTGATCAGACATCTAATAAAAAAGAAATAAATGAATTAATAAAATTGAGAAAGAATAAATAAATGTATTAATTCTTACAACACAATTTATTGGAATNCCGAGTGGCTACCGTAAGCTTTGCACCCTGTATTTACGTTCAAAAAACTCCCCGTACCCATCGTGAGTTTAACATTTCCGTAATGAAAACAGCACGAACCAAATAACGACGCAGACTGATCAGACATCTAATAAAAAAGAAATAAATGAATTAATAAAATTGAGAAAGAATAAATAAATGTATTAATTCTTACATTTCAAATTACAAGCAATTTATTAAATGTGAAAATATATGAAAGTTAATTTAAACCGGACTGCCATACTTTAAAAGCATCCTGTTTTTTATAAGAAGAAGATACCGATAATACTTCATGCCATAACACCATAGATATGGCATACGCAAATCCACATCTGCTGTATAGTGTACACGTACACATCCACCAAATTTTAATAAGCCACATCATGTTGTGGATGTTGTGAGATTGTTTTTCATGCCGGCAGTTAAATTAACATAATAATGTGGAAATTAAATAGCAAAGGGGGGTTTACTAGTTTAATTATATTTACCGTATTAGCGTTAGCATGGATAGCAGGCTTTGCTTCGCGTTTATTCGCGGTGATACGGTTCGAAAGTATAATTCATGAATTTGATCCATGGTAAGTTAACCTGAAACTATTGAATCAAATGTGTATTACACTGAAAAATAGGTTTAATTACAGAGCGACGGCCTATATGGTCGAACATGGTTTTTATAATTTTTTGAATTGGTTTGACGATCGTGCATGGTATCCTTTGGGACGTATCGTAGGAGGAACTGTTTATCCAGGTCTTATGATTACCTCCGGAAGTATTCATTATATATTACATTTACTAAACATAAATGTCCACATTAGAGACGTATGCGTTTTCCTAGCTCCAATTTTTAGGTAAGGTTATATTCGAAAAGGATTTTTACAGGCAAGTCCTTTGAAGTCACAAGCATTATTAAGCTTTAAATTTCGAGTACTTATGTAACTCATTTGAATAGATAAAACCACTTGTGAATCATTTAAGCAGGAGTTTTTACTGTTTTAAAATCGTTATTAAATACCATAATGGAACTTTTAATTTTAGAATTACATTTAATAAATATGTATAGTATTCCAAAAATGTCTAAATGACTAACATTTAAATGTCTGCAATCTTAGTTCCTCTTTGAATATTGAAATTTGAAATGTATTTCTTAAATTCTTAATGTTTTCTTCCTTTAGTGGTTTAACTGCAATTTCAACGTATTTGTTAACAAAAGAGTTATGGTCAACAGGAGCAGGCTTGTTTGCAGCATGCTTCATAGCAATAGTTCCGGGGTACATTAGTAGATCAGTTGCAGGAAGTTATGATAATGAAGGAATAGCTATTTTTGCTCTGCAGTTTACATACTATTTATGGGTTAAATCCGTCAAATCAGGTTCAATTTTCTGGTCATGTATGACAGCACTTTCATACTTTTACATGGTTTGCTTTTATTAGGTAAAATAAACTTTGCTTTTATTAAAAACAAATTTTTTTTAGGTTTCAGCGTGGGGTGGATACGTGTTTATAATCAATTTAATTCCCTTACATGTCTTTGTTCTAATTCTAATGGGCCGATATTCTAATAGATTGTTTATAAGTTACACCACATTTTATATTCTTGGCTTGTTATTGTCCATGCAGATTCCTTTCGTAGGATTTCAGCCAATAAGAACCAGTGAACATATGGCAGCTTCAGGTGAGAAACATTCATTTGTTTAGAATTGAATTATTTTCTGATTTAATTTTATTTGCCATTTTCATCTATCTTAACTGATAAAAGACACCAGGGGATTGCAAGTGGGATATTATTCCAAATTTTTCAAAAAATTACTTATTTAAGTGTCTATGTACAAGGGAGAAGACCGTATCAGTCTTGCATCCAAAAAAACACTTCTTTTATCAGCTCTTAACTTAGACGCCTTGTAGTTTCAGTTGTTGAAAAAACAATTTTAAGAAGTGTTTTAAATAAAAAAGTACAGTATAATAATAATTGTTTTATTTTCTAGGTGTTTTTGCTCTTATAGTAGCTGTAGCTGCATTAAAATACTGTCAAAGTGTTCTAACAAAATCAGAGTTTAAAACGTTCTTTTACTTTGGAGTTCTGGCTGTGGCGAGCATTGTATTTTTAGCGGTTGTTGTACTGACATATGCTGGATATATTGCCCCTTGGAGTGGACGGTGTGTTCTTTATTAATCGTTTTAGCCTATCATAGAAGATACTTATTGTTTCTTTTTAGATTCTATTCCCTTTGGGATGTAAGCTATGCAAAAATTCATATTCCTATAATTGCTTCTGTTTCTGAGCATCAGCCCACCACGTGGTTTTCATTCTTTTTTGATTTGCATGTACTTGTTCCAACTTTTCCAGCAGGATTGTGGTACTGCATTAAAAATATAAATGATGAAAGAGTATTTGGTAAGTTTTAATATCTTCATTGGTGTCATATATCTTTTTTATTGCAATTTTAGTTGTATTGTATGCACTAAGTGCCGTTTATTTCGCCGGTGTTATGGTTAGGCTCATGTTAACCCTCACACCTGTTGTGTGCATTTTAAGTGGAGTGGCCTTTTCGACTCTCCTCGACTTCTACCTCAGGGACAATGATACTCCTAGACCAAATGAGAGCGATGATGAAGAAGAAAAAGCTAAAACTGGTGGCAGAAGGCTCTATGACAAAGTAATTTAAATTTATATAAAACATTTTATGTAGACAGTAAACAAACAGTAAGATAGTGATTAATTTGTAAGAATTCCTCTTCAATTTTTCTTTTATGAAATATTTAAGGCTGGACGTGTGCCAAAGATGAAGCATGAACAAGTGCGCGAACCTGATGGAATCGGATCTAATCTTCGAAGTTTTGTCCTCGTTGTATTAGTTTTGTTATTAATGCTGTTTTCGGTCCACTGCACGTGGATCACCAGCAACGCTTATTCCAGTCCTAGTGTCGTTTTGGCATCGTATGGTAATGATGGTACACGTCAGATATTGGATGACTTCAGAGAAGCTTATTATTGGCTATGGCAGAACACACAAGACGACGCGAGGATCATGAGTTGGTAAGTATTTAAAAAAATATTTGTTTTACTCTTCTCAATTTTGGAAATCAACTGTAGCAATAAAAAAATGCATTATTATATATATAATTAATATCGCAAGAAGTACTTTAAGGTTTGACAAGGATTTTGCTTATTATTGAAGATTGAGAGTTAATTCTTTTATGTAGGTGGGATTACGGTTATCAAATAGCTGGTATGGCAAACAGGACAACTTTGGTGGATAACAATACCTGGAATAATAGTCACATAGCACTCGTGGGTAAAGCAATGTCGTCTAATGAAAGCGCTGCCTATAAAATAATGACATCACTAGACGTGGATTACGTGCTTGTGATTTTTGGGGGCGTGATTGGCTACTCTGGTGATGACATTAACAAATTTTTGTGGATGGTGCGTATTGCAGAAGGAGAACATCCCCAAGAAATTCGTGTAAGTAACATTTTCATTCTTTTTTTATTCCTCACTATTGGTAGAAAATCGTATTTGAATTACTTTTACTTATTTTGTTTGTTTTCTAGGAAAGTGATTATTTCACTGAACAGGGTGAGTTCCGTGTCGATGCTCAGGGTTCCCCAACCCTTCTGAATTGCCTTATGTACAAATTGAGTTATTATCGGTTCGGAGAGCTAAGACTGGACTATAGAAATCCGCCCGGTTTTGATCGTACCCGTAATACCATCATCGGGAATAAGGACTTCTCACTAACGTACCTAGAAGAAGCCTATACAACCGAACATTGGCTAGTAAGAATTTATAGGTAAATCAAGTCATTTAATAAATTTTCTATTTTAGATAAAATGTATATTTTGTTTTAGAGTAAAGAAGCCTCACGAATTCAATCGCCCACGTATTCCAGTTTCTTCTAGAATTATTAAGTCACAACATTTTACGTCCAAAAAAGTAAGTGGTTAATATACTTAAAAAAATTAAAAAGCGCATTATTAAAATAATGTAGAACTAGGAACGAAAATTGAATAATACGATAAGTATCACACAGGGCGATAATGTTTGTTAAAGAATACGCTATATACATAAGAATATTGAAACCAACTAATTTTCAATAAATAATAAGAACAAAGTGGTAAAGTTTCAATAATTTATGATTTTATTTTTTTTTATTTTTTAAAAAATTAGTATACGGTATTTTGTATTTTATTTTTTATATCGGTAACCGGACCTAATTGCTCGATTTTTATTTATTTTTTTTCAGAATTCTAAACGAAGGAAGGGCACCCTTAAAAATAAAGCACTGGTTGTCAAGGGCAAAAGACCATTAAAACAATCGTAGTCAATCAATAATTCGATTTAAATATTTTTTTTCCTTTGACCGTAACATTTTAAGACGTTATAGTTTTATTTGTTACGTAAAAGTTTCCAATCCGTTCGTACCAAATGAATTTAGAAAATATTCGTCGTAGCTTTAAATTTAATTCATGTCTTTGATGCAATAATGAAATATTCTTTTGTGTTGGTGTTTGGGACGTTAGTCTGCATTTAAAAACGTATTTTAGTTTAGTTCTAATTTAAAGAGATAGTCCCTGTGCTTAGGTAGTTCTTATTGACATTTCCAAATGTATACCTATTTTTTTTTTCAAAAAATAAAATTGAAAAGGTACAAGCATTAGCAATTGTCGGGGTTCCTCTGTGATGTGACGTAATGGTGTTTATTTGTATTATTATTATTGTAGTAGTTTTTGAGACTTATTATAGTTTATTTTGTGATAAAATGGTAATACTATAATGTCCACATTGTCAATCTTTGATAACATCCACTTAATAATTTGTTATTACGATAATCAAAAAATGCAAAGCAAAGAAATGTTTTCTATTACACTTGTACTATTGGAATATTTGAATAAAAAAGGGAAAAAATGACTACGTCTATTATTTTGAGGAGAAAAAAGATAAATTCTAAGTTGGTGCAATCTCATTCAAATAAATTTTATATTCTAAAAAGTCTCTTTCTGGGTAGTCATTAATTTTAGGTTCAAAAGAATATTCTGTACTTACCTTAAACGTTTATTTAAGAGAAAATTAATCATTTAAAAACGATCCCTATTTGAAGAGGAACTAGCTAATGACAAAACGTTAACTTATTTAAAGCTTAAAAAAACGAACATTTTAATGACCTTCCTTATATAGACTTTATTACTTTTGTCTGTGTTTATTTCAAAACTAATCAGCTAGTCTTTTTTTTTAATAAAAAAACACTAAATAAACGTAGAATTTTAAAAACATTCAGTACATACAATTCCTAATTCCTTAACTTTTCTTCCAGAAAAGATCCTTACGTCAGGATTTGATTAAAAAAAAGTAGTTTCTAATAGTACACGTTAAACACCATCAGCTATTATATGAATTGAAAAATAAATATTTATAAACAATTCGCTTACGGTCTAGTTTTTTCTTCTGCTTTTTCTTCAGTATGCAGTCCCTGCTGAGGTACGATTTATTATTATTTGATCCAATGACAGATAAGGGAGATGAGTATGATAAATGTGAGATAGATAAAGACAATGGAAGAATGAAAACGGTTGTTAAGAATGTGAATGGGGTTCGACGGGAAGCAATCTCGACGTCTGATTGACCATGCTCTCCCCACACGATGTCGTTGAATAACCGTTGTGGAAAATGTCTGGTATTTGAACTAACGATTCGACTAAGGTATGCTCATCGAGGAACGAATCTAAAAGGCCGTGAGACTGACTCAATTTTTCCAATGATTTTACGTCATTATCCACTGCAGCCAGGGCCCTTTCTAGTTCCTCAGTTTCTTCTCGAGTAGGCTCATATTCGCCATTTCTATTCACTGTTAACAAAAGAAATATATCAGATACATAATATCGTCAGAACTGTTCAAATGCAAATGAAAAAGGTAGTCATTTGAAGAATAATTTTACCCTTTTTTCACATTAATTAATAGAATAATAGTATTGCAAAGGCTTATTGTTATAACTTGGGTAAGATTTGGTATAGAAAAATGTCGGGGAAGAATACCTCTTAAAAACCGTATATTTTAAAATCAGAACACAAATACTCTATTTTCAGATAAATTTTTAGTTTAGAGTTGTAACTCCGTCATAGAGAAAACACACTTATTACTTATTGATTTCAGTATAACTATTTCACCACACAATTGCTTTTCCAGGTGCAATAATTTTAGCAAAACCAATCAACAAACCTTAAAACTGTATTTTATTATTCCTTAAAAACTTTCTAACCAATCAATATAAAGATATATACCCTTCTTTTATTGATCTGCAAGAATTTTTCATATTTACCCGAGAAAAAATCGCTGAACTCTTCCGCAGGAATTGTACTAAGTACTGTACTAATGTCAGTTTCTTCCAACAAATTGGTGGCATGACTGACCAATCCCTGTTCTACTGAGACCAATTCTAGACCGTCTGCTTCATGTAGATCAAGCACTTCCGGAGGTAATTCTGTTGACACTTCGCAAATGTGGGTGTTTAAATTCGTACCATCGCCGACCCCGTNTCCAAAATTTTTTAGACGGTAAAACCTTCACCTCAAATGAGTAGGTCAAAAACCTCCTCGATCAGTTTTTTGCCAGCAAAGACCAAAAATTTTATGAGCGTGGAATTATGCTACTACCAGAAAGATGGCAAAAGGTGTTGGACCAGAACGGTCAATATATAATTTAATAAAGTATTTGTTTATTACACGAAAACCGTCTTTTATTTCCACAAAAAAAAAAAAACGAAATGACTTTCCGAACAACCCTATAATATGCTAGACTAGTCAAGATATTTGTTAGGTAAAAGTACCTTATCAATTCGTTAATATCATAGCCGCTATTTTCAATAACTTGATAGCTTTCATTTAGGAGTTCCTATAAAATAAAATAATATGTAATATGAAATTAATTTATTTCGATTATTTCAAAACTAACCCTTTTCCTCGCGTGCTCCTTACAAAGGGGTAACTCATGTGAGATATCAAATACAGGCATTGAACATTGTGTATTGTCTGCGAATTTCGCGGTACAAAAAGCAAAAAGAACCTGGTCCGAATTATGCATGATATGCACTGTGCAATAGTTGGTACAGGGTAGCGCTGGACGCACACAGTTCTCAATTTTGCAGTTTCTGCTGGGCACAAGTCTGTCATAACCCACACATATGTTAGGTACACTTCCACTCTCCAGAGAATCCACTTCCGGACTTGTTTTCCTATCTACAAGTTCTTCTGGAAAATCCAACTTACCCAAATTGCTTTTTAGAATCTGTTTGAGGCGCCTCCTCAATTCGTACCTCGTTATTTCTAAACGTTCTTCTCTAGATTTTTCCTCCAATTTCAATTTCTGTAAATTATCTATATTAATTTATATGTTCATGCATTGTTATCAATAATTTATTACTATAAATACTTTATTTTATTAATTTACAAAAGGTTGAAATAATTCCATATTAACATTTTTAAATGCCTTGTTAAAAAAGGTTTTATAGTTACAGAATCAAGTCTGCATTCTTTAGAATAAAACCAAAGGTTATGCATGTCAGTACTTACCTCCAAACTTGTACAGAACCAATGTTTTTGATAGTGATTATAAAGTATTTCTGAGCCATCTATCCTCTGCAATGATTCATGGTAATTGTTCCAATTGCTGTTTCTTTTAAGGTGAGCTGTTGATGATGAATTTAATTTGCTAGATTTTATTTTACCACTTAAACCTACAAAATTAACTTTACTAACTTTAGTATACAGAGAAGGCAATTACTATAGATTATTACCTATAATACTGTGAGCAGATAATTTAGTATCGAAATCAGAGTCATCTGGTTCTTTTTTGATTTTTGGGGCAGGTACACTAAAGCTTGGCTGAATATATTTGGAATTAGGGAAACCAACATCAGGTTCAGATTTTGGGCTGTGTAAAACTTTACATGATTCTGTTGGATGCAGGAAATTTAATTTGCTAGTACTATTTACAAATTTAAACTTATCATCTATATAATCAGAAGACAAGGACCTCTGTCCATTGTATCTGAAACAATAACATTACTGTTACATCAACACCACCACATCATTTATTTTGTCATTTGCTTGTTCAACTGTTATTAAATCTAATTACAAATTCATATTAAATTCCTACACACACACTTGCTCAAGATGCACAAAACTGCACTTAAAATTCCATGAATTTATTTTCTGTAATTAGATGTACAACAGAGAAATGGTTGTATTTACTTCAACGATGCAGCATACACTTATATTTATAAAAAAGACTTAATTTCTTCAGTGCCAATGCAAATTTCCCCCAAGTAATTGTTTTTGTACATTATAGGCAATTGTTTTTCACAATAATTCTTTTAAAGGATATTGTCATTTACCTCTGATTTCCTTTAAGCATATTAACAATCTTCATATGTTTTACGTTTCCATTGGATTGCTTCAATAACAATTACGTGCAGTATTTTCTAGATCCTATAACAGAAACTAATTAGTTTAATATAAACTTAGATTATAAACTAATTACCAATTCTTTTAATCAAAATAAACCATTCAATGTAAACAGCGCCAATTAGGTTAGAGGATCGTTTACAAAAATGTTTTAGTTAATAAAGGACTTACATTAGTTGCAAAATAAATACAGAAAACAATGTACAATATATATCTAATAAAAATGCTAAATAAAATTAATAATCAACTGTTTGATAAATGTGATTATACACAGCATTTGTCAACTAATTTTTTGACAGTTTAATTCAAGTAGTGTTACCAATACACCAATANTAGTCAGAGACATATTAGAGGCAGAAACAGGAGTTAGGAGGGGTAGAGGTAGACCTAGATTAGATTACTGTTCACAAACAGTTTAGGATATGAGATCTTCTAGTTTGAAGGAAATGCGAAGATTAGCTCAGGATAGGAAAGAGTGGAGGTACGTGTCCAACCAGTCTTAGGACTGACGATCTTATGATGATGATGAAACTTATCATACCTACCATAAGCATATCTGTCACAAAAGAATATTTGTAACAGTGTGAAAGTTTGTCGTAAATTCTACATCCGTCCACAACTTTTTGAACATTCACCCTCTCGTATCTTCCCGTCCCCCTCATACCCGACCATTGAGATATAGCTCATTCAAAAGCTCTCATCATACGCAACAATTTATGACTCGCAGATAGAGATATATGAAGCGGGGTATATATTGGAGTTGAGCGTAAATAACTTTGAAAAAAGGTACTCACCCGAACATCCAGCAACAAAAATTGAAACACCAATTTTCTGAAACTCTTCAGCGATCTGTTTTATAACTGTAACACCTGACGGATCAACATAATTAACTGCAGAAAAATCTAATATCAAACACATGAATCCTGTCGATACTTTGTCCTTTAGTTTACTTAATTTGTTATTTGTTTCTAACGAACTCACAATCTTTAACAAATTACTCAAATTATTATCACAATTGAGGGTTAATTATTACCAGCTTGCTAATGAAAATAAACAAGATGGGTGGTGTCGTGGGACACACCGGTAGGAACGAAGTTTCTTACGCCATTTGACAAATATTTATCAACAGCTCTCTCTCCCTCTGAAAGCGGTAAGTAAAAGGGAAAGAGATGTCTATTAGCATATTAGATGAGATAAAAAAGTTCGTTCCAAAAATTGAATATCGAATAACTTACAACGGTTGTATACTTTTCAATTTTGTTACGCATTATTAATTCTTTTTGAGGATTTAGACCAATAGTTTTGTACAGTTCTGTCCTAAAAATTGTTCGAGAAGCAAAATTTATATTGCCTCGATAATGAAATATTTTCAGCCCAGGTATTTCACAAACCTAGAATTATATAATTAAAAAAAAAAAAAGAAAATAAAGTTAGCATTTTTTTTACCATTTTGTATCTATTGATATCTAAATAGATATCTGTATCCGGAAGCGCTCCTAAAAGACACACATAGGGCTTCAGGCCCATTATTAAGACATTCAAAAGCGAAACACAAAAACCAATCAAAAGTCCAACATCGACAGCAATAAGTATAACAGACAAAAACGTAACCGTCCAAACTGCGGCGTCCATCTTGTTAAGTTTTAAAAATTTAAAAAAATCTTTTACATTCATTAGCATTCCTTTAAGGGCAACCACAATAATACTTGCCAAAACGGCCTAAAATTGATATGTTGTTTTAAATATCGCCCTTTAAACAAGGATAATTACATGTACCTTTGGCAAAGGTTCAAAAAATGGTCCTATCCACATCAAAACAAAAACCAATATTGAACATGATGTAATTGATGCCAGTTGGGTTTTTCCCCCAACGGTTTGCTGAATTAAAGAACGTGATATAGAGGCACAGTAGGGCATGCAAGAAAAAAATGAACCAAATAAATTTCCTATACCCTGTAAGATAAAATATTAATATCGGCAGTTACGAAAACCGACTAATTATGAATCATTCTACTTACAAGAGCTAAAAGTTCTTGATTTGCGTCAATTTCANCCGAGTGGCTACCGTAAGCTTTGCACCCTGTATTTACGTTCAAAAAACTCCCCGTACCCATCGTGAGTTTAACATTTCCGTAATGAAAACAGCACGAACCAAATAACGACGCAGACTGATCAGACATCTAATAAAAAAGAAATAAATGAATTAATAAAATTGAGAAAGAATAAATAAATGTATTAATTCTTACAACACAATTTATTGGAATAGTTGTCCCCAGTATTTCCTTATCTACAAATCCAAAATCGTAGTCGCAATTTACAACTTTCGGGAGTATCTTCATTGGAATATCAAAAATTAAACAACACAAAGTGTTCCACTGTAGCAAAAAGGGATCATATAATCCTGTGGCGCTTGCATTTGAAATGTCGGTTACGTACGTTTTTCCTTTTGTAAATTTATATATAAGCCACGTTTCGATTGTTCCGAACATAACATTATTTTTTTCGAGACATTTTTTTAATTCTGGAATGTTTTTAATTGCCCACAATAGTCGAAAAGTTACCTAAAAATAAACGTTTTTATAATGGGAATAAATTACGATAAAAAGTAACAAAAAAAAATTGATTGGTTAAACATTTTAAAAACATTATTATATTAGTTCACCGGGTGTGAATTGTCGCACGAGTCGAAGAAAATGGCAGCAAATTCCCGGGAGAGTGCCATTTTTCTTCCCGAAGGCCGCATACAATTTTTTACCATACCGTTGCCTCGAAAATACGATTTTTCCTGATTTCAAGGGCGAGAAAATGCAACATAATTTTCCAAGTAAGAAATCGCTTTCGGCTGAAGAAGCAATTTCTCCGAAATCAGGGAAAACTATCGTACTTTCGAAAGGGCTATGGCAAAAAATATTTCAAGCATAAAATTATACCTACCAGTAAATTTGAAATTCGTAGCTTACTTCCGGCCAAATACCTCTGATTTCTAGTTGTTAAATATAAACAGTAGGAAAAAAACTTTAAAAACTGAAAATAAATTAATATTAATACGTAACCAGAAATATTAAAAAGCCCAATACTTTACATTAACTGTTACCGATTTATCCCAAGCTTTTACTATATCGTCAGCCCTTAAGTCTTTCCATGTGATAAAATTATGAAAAGGCACACCTGTATCTTTCCTCCAAGTTATAAAAGAAGCCCTCTGAGTACTTATACCCATTCCAACGATTTTATTTTTATTTATATTACTGTCTAATAAAAATTAAATGTAGGATTCAATAATACCTTTTAACAATTTAAGAAATTTCACCTACCAGAGATAGCATTTTTTGTAACAGATAATGTAGCATTCCACAAATATTCTGGGTCTATTTCGACGTAGCCTTTCTTAGGGTATAACAATTTTAACTAAAAAAAATGAGTAAAACTGAATTTGAAATATTATGTAAATCGTAGATTTACCTTTTCGCTAGAAACAGATTTAACAGTATATGCCGTATTGCTTATAGACGACCTTATCAGTGAAGTCCCAACATCAATTGCCAAAATATATCTTTTGTCTTTGACCATTTTTGTTTTTTAATTTAGTTTTTCTAAAATCATTTATTTANTTTTTTTCAGCACTTTTTGTAAAACTTAAATCAAAAACGAAATATTGGTTTAGATAAAATTTATTTGTCTATAGTATGTACAACAAATCCTTTAACTCAAATTAAATAAATAAAGGTATTTTAATACAAACAAATACATTTATTTGAACAAAACTACATAAGATCACATTTATTGGTACGTTTTTCTTCAATCAAATTCGTAAAGTCGAAATTTTAGTAGTTCCGTTAAGCTCGAAAAGATTTATTGCGAACTGGGCTGCATCATGAACAGTCGGAAAGATTTTTATAACACTTCGCTTTTCATTATCATCCACCAGTCCACATTTTTTCATCATTTCATATATAGGACCTAAGAGATAAGTTAATATTTAACTACTTCACGAACTAATTAGTCGTTTCATTCCTTGTTGTTTCCTCGCTGGAAAACTAATGATGAAAGCTTTTGAATTAGCTATATTTAATACGTATTTAATTTGTGTTGCCTTTTCCTACTATACGCTTATCATGGGTGCGAAACATGGACGGTGGGCGCAGCGGAAAAGAAAAGGTTAGAAGCGTTCGAAATGTGGTGTTACAGGCACATGATGAGGATATCGTGGAAAGAGAAGGTTAGAAATAAAGAGGTATTAGAAAGAATAGGAAAAGAACAGAGGACTCTATAGAAGTCAATAAAAAATAGGCGAGATAGGTTGGTAGGACACTTTCTCAGGCATGAAGGTCTAGTCAGAGACATATTAGAGGCAGAAACAGGAGTTAGGAGGGGTAGAGGTAGACCTAGATTAGATTACT